AAAGGAAACGGAGAAAGAATGGAATCAACGAATCACTCGGTTTCAAGGGCCGCCGCTCTCCACGAAGCAGCGTAGTCAACGTGCGCCCACCTTGCAAGACAAAGAGAAATCGGCCCAAGTAGCGTGCGCGCAGAAGCTAGCTGTCAACAGCCCCCGAAGAATCGCTCTCCTGCGTTCACACCTGTAAACCTGTTTGCTCTTTTTTCTTCCTCCGTTCACCTCGCGTGTGGCGACTAGGGCGACCGCCGCCGCCCTACGCCCAGCTGCCCGCCCAGGTCTTCGTCGGGCGCTTTGCCGGCAACGAGCGCCCACCACACCAGGTTTGCCCGCCCCCTTCTCCCCCCTTCCCGCTGTGCAAAGCTGAGCACCCGAACCCTAGTTTTAGCTGCTTGGCTATCTGTATATATTCGGATCTGATCTAAGTACAAGACTACAAGTGTATAAATATCATGCCTACTAACCTCGATCACATGCGTACACCCATGTCCTGTATTGGGTCCACCCCTGGTTGGCGCCGTAGCACTTGTTACCTGATTTAGGTGCGGGTGCAGTGTGTTTTCTGGAACTTTTGGAGCTTCTAATTCAGCTGAACCCACTCTACCTTTGTCCGCCTCTAGTAATGATGGATGTTGTTCGAACTGAAAATTACTGGTTGTTCCGAGCAAAAATCAATTGGTACCGTGTCGGTGATGCTAGCTTTGAAGAAAGAAGAATCGTGCTGGATGATTGGTTCAGGCTCTAGACAGCTCACTGTCCCGCCTCTGACTATGTTAGTTGGTTATGGTATTAACGGGCACTTGGTTTTTTTTTTCCGACAGATTGGTCACCTGAGGATTGTTACATTTGGGAAGGATGAGCAAAGGCCCAGTTCCATTCGTCAACATTGGGAAGAGAGCAAAAGGTAAGCACCTTCTTCTCAACAGTCTTTACAGGCCTTAGTTTTCAACCGTCATGCCTCATGTCATTCAATGCACTTTCCAAATGATGTCTAGTGTGGTCTTGATACTTTGTGTTGTTCTGGTTGGGTATAATAATGCACTGAATAACTCTGCTGGGTAGTAGAGAATCTATCTATATAATCATCACTAGATGCCTAATACTCAGTTCTTTTCCAGTTATTCCCTTGATTTATTGTGTAGATTCATAGAGAAACTTTCCGTTACTTTGTCGCTGTATTCTATGGTGGATAAGACACGGACAGATAAACATAAATTCAATCCTGTGAGAGTTCTATCTATAACTGAACAAACTATAAGAATGGACGTTATTTCATATTTATTGGGAATAGTTGCGAAGTACTTTATCTGTTGTGGTATGTGGTACGGCAAGTACATATACATTTTATGGTCAGATTTCTGCGCTAGTAAACTTTATGTATTAATACTTCCTGTACTTATAGATCTCCTGTACAAGGACTACAACTTTGACCAGAAGTTTTCTTTGTCGACGTCTAGCAGCTCTGGTTTGGTAAGACAGCTCACACCTGTTGTTTTAGCTCCTTCCAGAAACCCTTTGAATTTATTTTTCTGATAACCTGTGCCTTTTTTCATAGAATCTCACAGCCACTGGTGTGAAGATCAATGAAGACTTCATTGGTGATATACGGACACAGCATAAAAGTGGTAGAACCACTGTTGATGTCATAATTGATAGTGATTCTAAAGTAAGGTTCTTGTAAACTCTGCTTTTCTGCATTCGAAAGTTTTTTTTTTCGAGCCTGGTCGGATAGATTATTTGTTTTCTGGATCAAGGCTTCTAATTGTGGCACTGCTATAATTAAGTATCCTGCATGAGACGTAAATATATCTTGGCATAAGAAATATTACATTACTTACCTTATATCCTGGTGGATCCTAGGCATACACGCATTGATTATAGTAAGCAGCGAACACGTGGCTAATAAATTCTGTGGGTAGGATATAGTGTTAAGTGTGGCTAGCGGTAAGCATCTGAAAGTGATCCCTTTGTATTTATTGGGGCCTCCTTCCATTTTTAGGCTAAGATTGCCGACCTAAAGAACACGTGGATTTTGGAATGCGAGTTTTAGACAAATGAGGATTGCTATATTATTTTATTAGCTGCACTTGTTCATCCATAGTATTTTTCTGCTTCATATTTGCTTTTGCTTTTGCTTTAGTTATGGTCCTCATCCTGCATTTGTGTTCTTACTGGAGTCCTCTTGGTTGCAGGTGTCAACCACAGTCACTGTTGATGAAGCACTAACTGGTTTGAAGACCTCATTCGCCTTCAAGGTTCCAGATCACAAGTCTGGGAAGGTTAGTATTTTTGGAAGTAAAGGAGGAAACATTAGCTTACTTGAATACAGAAAATGAACGGTGTAATATGTGCAGGAAGTCTTAACTGAGCTGTAGTTTACTTGCATACTGTGTTTATCAATTAGCTTACTTGAATATAGAAAATGAACGGTGCAATATGTGCAAGAAGTCTTAAATGAGCTGTATTTTACTTGCATACTGTGTTTATCAATTATATCAATGGCTTATGATCTAAATTTCAACCCACCAATTTTCACTGGAATACTATTTTTTTGCTAGTACTTATTTCTTTTTTTTTGCTGACAGCTTGATCTGCAATATGCCCATAATCGTTTTTCATTGAATTCGTCCATTGGTTTGACATCAACACCTTTGGTTGAGCTGGCTGCAACTGTCGGCACAAGTGAACTTACCATTGGTGCTGAGGTCGGGTTTGACAGTACTTCGGCTGCTGTTACTAAGTACAACTCAGGGGTTGGATACAACAAGTCTGATTTCTCTGCTTCCTTACTACTGTAAGCACTGCAAGTTTATGCTTTTTGTTTAGGCATGCATGTAAATTTTTGCATTGCTTGTGATTTTGTAAGCAGTTAAACCCAAAGTTCAGCTAGGCGCTAGGCGGAATCTAGGCGCTGACCCATTGCCTAGCGCCTAGTCGGGAGTACTCGGTCCTAGGCGTTTTCCTAGGCGTTTTGGCAATATAGCCATAAATTATATATATATATATATATATATATATATTTATATAACTATATATATGTATATAACTACTATATATGAGTCACAGTAAGTATAAAAAGAGGGCCAGTAGACATATCTGATTCATAGCTGGCTTACTCTTGCATGTTCCTAGCTCCTGCAGCTGGTAATTACAATACAAGTGGATAGGACAGTAATACAAGTGCACAACACCAGGGGCGGATCTGCAGCCCAGGCCCTAGTCGTTGGGCCATCAACACCACATACCCCATGTAATTTCAGCCCAATAATGAAGGCCTAGGCAACAGCAAACCTAACCCTCTGCCTCTGCTCCTATCCGCATCCCTCCGTCCCTCGCACGAGCGCGCAGCCGCACCCGCACCGCCGCACGGGAGGAGGCGAGGAGCCTGCTAGCCGCCTGTCGGCGCCACCTAGCCGGACAACGCTGCGCCGCATGCCATTCCGCGGCGCACCAAGCCCTCCCGCCACGCCGCTGCCCAGGCGCCCATCCCATCCTGGCACCGGCATCCCGCAGGCGCAGGGTGCGGGCCACACCACCGCAGAGCGCCGCGCCGGTCGTCCCTGCCCTCCAGGCTCCAGCTCCAGCTGGCTCGAGCCCGGCGCCGGCGGCCCCTGCCCTCCAACAGTCCAGCTCCAGGCCCCTTTGGCCGCCCTCCGCGCCGCCTAGCACCGCGATGCGCGACTATGCCCCTAGTCGCGGCGATGGGCTTCGCCCAGCGACTAGGCGCGCGTAGTCGCCGAGTAGTCGCCGCCTAGCCGAACTTTGGTTAAACCTTTGGTTTATCGTAGCATGCTATTTTCGTTTTCCTTACCTTAGTTTTTTTTGTAAGTTTAACAAATGAATGTTATTTTCTTAGCTCTCTTTTATCAGTGCACTGACCAATCTTTCCACATTTTTGCTAATAAATAGGGCTGATAAAGGGGAGACTTTGAAGGCATCATACATTCACTTGTTCAATCCAACCAATGGAGCTACAGTGGCAGCTGAGGTAACACACAAGTTCAAAACCAAGGAGAACTATTTCACAGTTGGGAGCTCCCATGCCCTTGATCCTTCAACATTGCTAAAGACGCGATTCAGCAACTCCGGGAAGGTCGGTCTTCTCTGTCAGCATGAGTGGAGGCCAAAGTCCCTTGTGACTCTCTCAGCTGAGTATGATCCAAAGGTGGTAAGTGCGCCTTCAAGAATCGGTGTGGCCATATCGCTCAAGCCTTGAGATGAGTTAAGTCACCTTCTGTAAAACAGTACAAGCGTTACATACTGATACTGTCTCAAAGAACATAAGCTTTGGAGCGATACCTAGAACAACCCTCCATTTTAGCCTTTTTTGGTAAGAGTCCTGGGCAAAGGAGTATTGTCTGGGAGTTGGACTTGTTTTGTGGAATGTTTCCATTAGAGCCAACTCCACACCGAGGATTGAAAATACAGAGGTTTGTATTAGAGCAGAAGCTTCACTCTGCGATATTTTTCCATGTTTTCCTAGTCGAAGAAAATGATTTTGGAGGTGATTGAACACCTAACATCTTGAGTTGATGGTAGTTTTAACAGCTCTGGAGATAAAGGGGCCATTTGTACCCAGCAACAGCAGAATTAGCTCTTGAAATTCGTCATTTTGGTAAAGCTTTTTTTTTTTGTTGGGTGGTTCTTGTGAAATTCATAGCAGGGCGTAGTTTAAATTGTTTCCCCGATAAAGTTGGTTGTGTCCTTGCGATATGACTTATGAGGTGAATGCGCTCAGACTGGAGATCAGCCGATGGAGGCTTATCGTGCAGCTGGGGCGGAGGCGTGCGCTGCGTGTCCTCCCGCCCCGGTGCAGGTGAGCAGGTCCCTTGTGAAGTTCACTGTCCTTGCAAGGTCTCTCGGACCTTCGCACTCGACTCGGTCACAGCACGCGCGTGTGCTCACCTCACTTCACTTGGCCCGGCTGTCTCCACGCCACGCTCCCCACATCCCCTTTCCCCTCCTCTCCATTCCACTCTGCAGTAGGTAGAGTGGCAAGAAGGATGGTGGCGACGATGGCGAGCTCACTGCTGCTCCGGCCGCGCGCGGTCCTGCCACCCCATCCTTCTAGCTCCAGCCGCCGGCCATTGCCAGCCCCACATGCACAACTGCAAGCGAACATCCAGCAGAAGCCGGGCCTTACGGCAAGAAGCGACGGCGAGCGGAGGCAGCCGGCTGGGACGCGGCTCTACTCGCTGGCGCCCTACCCTCTACTGCTCGCCGCGCTGCTGCCGGGAGGTACGGCCTTGCCACGGCTTGTGTTCTCGGCGGTCGCCTCTGCTGACGCTTTGGTTCTTTCCGCCGGCCGTTCTGAGCAGCTGAGCCGGTGACGGCCGTGTTCGCGCCGTTCGTGGAGCTGGTGAAGACGTGGGACCTCCCCGGATGGCTCGTGCACTGGGGCCACCCCGGCAACATGGTACGTCTCTCGCCACAGCTGCAGGCTGCAGCCGAGCATGGCTCCTGCAGCACTGAACAGCTCACCTTCTTGAAGCTCCCAAACAAGCAGGAACTCAAATGCTGCAATGATTTTATCAGCAGTGTGAAAGATCAAGTTCTGTGGCTGCCAGCCAGAACAACAGTGTTGCTGAAACCTCACAGTGCCAGATTCGATGTTGATCAAATTCTGTCTGGTTCAATGTGTAACTCTCGGTTCTTTCTTGTCAGGCTGTGGTGCTCTTCGCAATGGGTGGCTACGGGACATACCTGGGCTTCAGGATCAAACTATCAGACGATCTTGTAATCCCAAGACCATTTACTATGCACTTTGCCTTCCATCATTGAGAGCAGCACTCTTGATTTCGGCTGTGTAACTTGCATACAGGAAGAGAAGGCCAAGGCCAAAGATCTCCACCCAAAACTCCTCGCAGGGATGTTCTTTTTCTTCGCCCTGGGCGCGACTGGTGGGATCACAGCTCTTCTTACCTCAGACAAACCCATCTTTGAAAGGTTCTGCTCTCAGAATACATACTGTTCTTCTATGTACAAAGGTAGGGTCGCCTTACAAACTTTTGGCAATGGATTTGCAGCCCTCATGCCGTGACTGGAGTCATCGGCCTTGCACTCCTAACCATTCAGTCTATCCTGCCAAAGTTGTTCGAGGTAACATGGAAAGATATATCAAATCATCACACACACCAGTTCAATATTTTGCTTTGGTCATTCAATTTGTAGTCCTCCAAAGCCTGGTGATTCACATTCAGATATAGGCTGAGTGACTTGGTTTTTGTAATGCCAGGGAAATCCAGGGCTTAGGACTACACATGGTCTGCTCGGCAGTGGCATCATGACTCTGTTTCTAATCCACGCGGCACTAGGCCTGCAGCTTGGGATCAGTTTCTAACTTGTGGCTACAATATCTTGGGGATTGCTTCTTTCTGATTGTTTTCAGATATTTTAAGTCACTCTTAGTATTATCACACGAAGCATCCCCTCATAAAATCAAAATAATGTAAGAGAAAGGAAATTTGTTTTCCTTGTCTTTGTTGGCAACTGCAGTCAATGTTGTGATAATCTGATATTGCAAATTTGCGATAGGCCAGTAGAATATCCATCTGGAGACAACCAGACATGGATACATGTCTGTTACCTAAACGAAGAACAGAATCAGACAAAAAGAAGAGAAAAGAGAAAGAAAATGTTGTAATCCTAAAAGCAGAACGCAAAATACTGCTAATGATCAAATGTTTTCATGTCATCATTCTAAAGAATCAGACATTGAGTTCTAGTGTGTAAATGACAAAAATTTGTTGCATCTCTCAATGTTATAACAGTGGTAGATAGTGTTGGTATACATACATGGCATGTATTGCATGATGGATGCCAAATGCAAATTCCAAAAGTTTGACTGGAGATCTTTCGGGAAAAAAAAGTTTGACAGGAAAGCAACGATATACAGATGGACCAGGCGAGACTTTCCCCTACTCAACTAGGGTATAGCCATATTATACCAGGCCAGTTTCCTTCAAGTCATGAGGCATTGCGAAGACGACCTTTGTAGATTTATCTAACGCTGACCTCAACTGCCGAGTAGCCTGTTCCTCCATGCATATCCCAACAAAACAACGATGACCAACAAGCAGAAAGATGATGTGCCCCCAACAAATGGCCAAAAGGGACCCACAAACTTCTTATAGTCCCCATTGTTAGGCACGTTTATGGCAAACGATGCAGCTATCAATGTGTTCATGGATATGCCAAAGGATACAATAATCAGTATGAGATGGAGCTGAATAAGTCCATTGCGTTGGTTGTCAAGTTGGATGTTGATGTAGTCTTCTGTGTCAACGATATATCCTCGGACCTGTTAAATATGCCAGAAAATAGTTATCGACATGAGGATAGGAACTGTCATAATCAGAGAATGCCGGGGGCGAGTATGGTGTATGCAATACAGGTTTGGGAGAGAAGAACAAACCATCATAATTCTGTTGCGAATTCCATCCAGCTGCATGAAATAAGATTCAAGTAACATCTCTAGGTCTCCTACATCGTCGTCCAATGGCGCAACCACAGCAATGCCCGTGGCTTGGTTAATAACAGAATTTCGTGTATCCATGTTAGTTTTTGAAGGAAATTTGCAATTTAAAGCAGAAGAAACCAGTAGAGCTTCATCCTGCGGACTTTTTATTTGCTTCCTTGATAGGTGTAGTTGTGCCATATTTTCATTATGATCCAAAAGATGCTCTACTTCATCTCTGACCTGAAAATTTTTCAGACAATGATATCACATATTATGAAAAGGAAGTGGCTTCAGACATCATACGAACTATCACCAAAGTTTTAGCCTTATAAAACAGATTGGGAGGCTTTGCGGAGGATGGGAAAGCCTAGTATGATATATATAGGGACAGATGGTCTGTTGTTTTTATTTTCTGTGCTTCAAAGATTCAACCATAGCTTATGTACTTCCTTGAACCATGAATAAATGATGTTTATAACATCAACACAGTCTACAAATGCAATTCCTAGAGCTAATTTCGATTGTACTAATATATTTATATTGAACCTAGTACGGTATAGCAGTTTGAAAGCACCTTTTTTTTCAGAAAATTCCACAAAATGTCATTTTTTATGCCTAAACTAGATATCCTTAACAATATCAACAGCAAAAGTTCTTTATGGAGCACTTGTTACATGTCTTGGTAATCAGCATCATTGCAACAGGTACCCATGCAGTGGATGTTATTATTCTTCAGAAATTCACAAGAATACCATATAGTTCTGTAGCTACATGCACAGTGATAGTCAAGTAAACAATACTGCTCGGCCATTCTTTTGCAAACAATAAGCACTAAACTGAGTAAGAATTAAGATTTAAGGAACATAAAGTGACCAAATATGTATAAGTGTATAACTAACAATACCTTGTGCACACCAGCGAGCAGAGCGGTTAGATTGCTTTTCAGGCTTCGAACACGCTCGAGATTGCTAGTGCTCACATTCTTAGCCAACTCATCCAACACCCAAATGGCATGCCTATTAAGATCAGATAGGCTGGAATGAAATGACAAGCATACAGCTTCTAGGGCGAGCTCCAGCACCTGAAACTCAAAGGGGAGCTCACACTCTGCATCAGTTTTAGCATGCTTGCCATCCACATTACCCACTTGTGTGGCACCAACATCAACCTCCACGCTCTTCAATGGAAAATGCCGCCTCAATTTATCGATGAAAGGAATAACCTCCTGAGCAAGAGGTTCCAGCAGCAGGACTTCATCAGCAGTTACAATAGCTCTTATGAACTCTAGATTGATTACCATCGCCTTCTCTCGAGCTGAAAAATAAGCAAAGTCTAAGGTTAATCTCACCGATAGCAGATATGATTCACGGCATTCTAAAAAACTTCTATATGAAAAAAAAAACACTTCACGGCGTGCTAGTACGAGGATTTCACTAGCTTGCAATTCACAGATATCGACAAAATCTGAGAGCATCAGCTCACCGAGGATGCTGGGACAGCGGGAGAGAAGGGGCCCGACAACGCGGAGGTCGCGCGCGTGCACCCCGGAGCGTTCCGCGACGAAGGCCCTGTCGCTCATGAACACCTCGCACCGGCCCCACCGATCCATCCTCATCCACAGCCGGGCGGGCGCCTTCTTCCTCCTCCTCCTCCCGGCAGGGTGCGGCGCCGGCGGCGCGACAGGCGGCCTGGGCAGTGACGGGAGGCGCCGGATGGCGCGGGAGCGCTTGGAGGACGACGAGGAGGAGAATGAGGAGGACGAGAGGAAGGGAGGCGGCTTCCTGGCCCCGATGCCCGATAGCATCACCATCGCGGCGGCAGCACGGCCCACGGCGATCGGCGAGGAACATAGTGGGGAGCGGGCGGAGAGGCAGCGGTGGGGTTTTGGGCCGTGCGGAGAGACGTGGGCGGAGCGATGGAGGCAGCCGAGAGCGAGTTCGGCCGGTGGAGCCGAGGTGGGCGAGCGCTTTCGTGCGTTTGTTTGATGATGAGTTTTTTTTTAAATATCCATTGTTTTTTTTTCTCTCATCTGTTATAGCATCTGTTCGTATACACGTACGCCTACTACTCACACCATCCGTATATAAATAAACCTACAACTATCACTTAATGTGAAGACCACGTTCTCGTTGAGATCACCGAAATCCAGCAGCATCTGTTCGTAGGAACATAGTGGGGAGCGGGCGGAGACGCCTAACGCGACGTGGGCGGAGCTACTCCGGTGGAGCACTTTTCATGATGAGTTTTTTTTAAATATCCATTGTTTTTTTTTCTCACTATAGCATCTGTTCATAAATAAACCTACAACTATCACTCAGATGTTAAGACCGCGTTCTTCTTAAAATCACCGAAATCCACTGATTTAGTAGGCGACGAACACGTCACGATCCTATTATGATCGGACGCGTAAGAGGCACGGTTGATATTTGGGTGCTGCACAGCACACACCCGGGTGTGACACCAGCGTTGCGATCGCCGGGCATTGAACGCTGGCGGGCAGACTCGCCGCTGCTAGTACTACCACTGAGCCACTGGCTCGTTCGCAAATATCCATTGGTTTTAGTTTTAGAGTTGACGTTGGTCTCAAGCCCAGCTAGAGGCCCAAGCTTAGCAAAATATGTTGAGCCCAAAATAATGCTCTGCAATTAAAGCCCATTTGCGTTAGCCAATCCACAGCACGCGCGGCCTACACTTTTAGATAGCATGGCCCATTTCGCCAAGTTTGTAAAATTCAGGCTAGAGACGGAGTGCCGCTTACCGTACATACCACGACGGCGTGCTTGGAAAATTCGTTGCAATGACACACTTTGACACGTTACCACAATCATTCTTCACTGCCCCAAATAGTGGTACTCCATCGAGTACTATTCCCTAGTCCCTCTGTCTCACAAAGCACGAAGAAAGACATCTTAGCACAATGTATCAGTATTGTGCAGCAATTTGACACTGTTTCACTAGTGTTTTTGAGAGGTACTGTATCGAAGTCATTTTGTTTCATAGTACTGACATATCATAAAAAAATCTTGTAATGCCTTTGTTTATAGGGACGGAGGGAGTACAAATGTAGTAGCACATTTTTTTTTCTCTAATAAGATTCTCGTGCCCGAGTGGGTTTCAGTTCCGCTTGTCAGTACCGTACTACTTTGATTCCTTGAACGATGCCAATATTCCATCGTACTCGTACACTGAAACTCTGGCCGGCGCTAGTCGTTTCACACTTTCAGTTTAGATCTCACACTTCTCCCAAATTATAACTAAGTACTAATACTATTTTCTCCTCCCTCAAACCTTTTCACTTGATCCCCTGGCTTTTCTAGAATTCCCCCGCCCACACCCCGGCAACCCGGCGCACGGCGGCCGGTGGCACAGCGCGGCTACGCCGGCCACCTGGGACCTACGACAGACCACCTAACGGGCGGTCACCATCTCCGACCCGAGCGGCTACGCTAAGCGGCGGTGCGGGGTGACACGACTGGCTAGGGAAGGCTGAGCGGCGCGCGGCCATCCGCGATAGCGGCGCTGCAGTTCCGGTGAGCTGGGGTAGCTATATGCCTACTTGGTTAGCGCGTGAGCATCAGGAGGCTACCGTGGACCAGGCCAAGGTGACGGTTGGGGCGGAGGATGATGGAGGAAGGCTAGCCACGTCGGCGAGCGGCGCGTCATCATACAAGCGACATGGCACGGTCACACGTCGGCAACGGACGAGAGGCGGTTCTGGTTCACCGACGTCACGCAAGATGCAGAGGGAGGTGAGGCAAAGCTGGTGGTGCAAGTGAATTGGCTTGAAAGGGACGGTATGAGGGTTGCTCACATCCACGGCCGGACGCGGCCTTATCGGCACGGCGGCGGGAGAAACTCCAAATTGGAGCTTGGCCTTGCACGGTTCAAGACTGGGTAGGGTCGGGCAGCGAGAGGACATGATGTTGAAACCGTGGATGCACTAAATTGAATGGAGGTGATCGTTCACTGAGTAATTTGATGGCGCGGCTCGTGGCGATAACAGAGGGAGAAAGACAGAAATAGAGAGACAAGGCGCGGCAGGTGGGCTCGGTTCGTCTTGCCTTGGCGGGATGCGGTCGGCGTGATCGTGGAGGTCCACACGCAGGCGTTAGCAGACAAGCACGTGCGTTTGCGACCGGCGTGGCCTGCGCACTGCAATGCCATCAATGACAAGGAGATCGCAGCCCCCGGCCACGTCTTGTAGCAGAGATGGCATCGCCTTCGGGCCGGCAATGCAGCGTTGAAGATGCGAGAGGGAGGCACGGACATGACGGCGAGGTGACGGCACCGGCAGCGTCTGCGTCGCGGTCGCGAAGCGGTCACTAGTCTTCGGGCGGCATGCATGCGGGCCAGCGGCAAGACTGGCCGATCAAGCAAGCAATAGCGGCAATGACTCCAGCGCGCCGAGAGCCGCCGGCGGCCGAGCCACAACCAGGCCGAGCGGCGGCGGCCACGCCACTGCCAGAAGCGCAGCAGCGTCGTTGTAGGAGGACAGCCAACATGGCGACACCGAGCACCCGAGCATGGTGACCGCGCCCACGCGGCCAACCAGCCCAAGGCCAAGGCGTGCACAAATTTTAAAGCGCCCAAAACAACTAAACGGTTGCTTCAGGAACCAAACCATCTTCACCATGCTCAAGATGGCATATGAGACTATCAAATCGAGCTATAACACTACACCACCCCTAAACTCAATCTCTCAAAATAATTTACTAAACATAGCAATGTCTAGCTGTTGACAAACTTAGAAATTTTCTAAGTTTTTGAGCTGAACTTGATTTTAATTTGTAATTTCTAGTCTAGTAGAAATGTTAGTTAGTAATATCATTTTTCAACAGCAAGTATGTCACTGTCATCTACAAAGTTTCTACTTCAAACTTTATTTAAGTATCACACACATGTTTTATAGTATTTTCGCTTAATAAAAATTAGTTTTAAACCCTACTTGATATACATAAACTATTGAATCAACTTTCGTTTAACATTTTTATTAGTCATTTTAAGTTACAAGAAATTTATCTACATATTCTATCACATGCATTAACACATAAACATGATGCTCATGACATATTTTAGTAAATAATTTAGGGTGTAACACCGAGGGTGTTACAACTCTCCCTCCCTTAAACAAAATCTCGTCCTAAGATTTCAGGTGAGTGCCTAGTGTAGGAAAAAGAGTAAGAGTGAGCTTTTAACATAACTATTACCTCGGCACGGTTCAAGGCTGTGTAGGGTCGGGCAACGAGAGGACCTGATGGTAAAGCCGTGGATGCGATGAATTGAATGGATGTGATCGTTTGCTGGGTAAATTGGATGGCGTGGCTCGTGGCGACGGCAGAGGGAAGAAAGAGAGAGAGAGAGAGAGAGGGAGCATGGCAGGTGGGCTCGGCTCGTCCTCGCCTTGGCGAGATGCGGTCGGCGTGGACGTGCAGGCACGCACGCAGATGCTATGGACAAGCACGCGTGTCCCCGACCATGGCCCGCGCGGCTGCAGTGTTTTAAATGACAAGGCGACGGTGAGCCCGGCCACATGCGCGCGCCAGTGGCGGCCTCGAACTGGGCCGGCAGCGGCGTAGAGGGTACAACGGACAGGCGCGGACACGATGATGATGCGACGGTAGCGGTAGCATCGCGGTGTGAGGTGGGTTGACAGCGCGGTGAGGCAGCAGTGCACGGACGCGACGCCCCGGGTGGGCGGTAGCAGCTCTACACGGCGGTGCCAGCGGTAGCCGGGCCATAGCCAGGCCAGAGGCAGCCACGGCTTACTTGATATAAATAAACTATTGAATCAACTTTCATTTAACATTTTTATTAGTCATTTTAAGTTATAAGAAATTTATCTACACATTCTATCACATGCATTAACACATAAACATGATGCTCATGACATGTTTTAGTAAATGATTTAGGGTATAACACCGAGGGTGTTACAACTCTTCCCCCATAAACAAAATGTCGTCCCGAGATTTCAGGTGAGTGCCTAGTGTAGGAAAAATGGTAAGAGTGAGTTTTTAACATAACTATTACCTCGGCACACCGGGGAGAAGAAGGGGATAATGCTCCAGAATATAACTCTCCTGCTCCTAAGTTGCTTCGTCCTCCGAATGATTTTGCCACTGGACTTTATAAAATTTCACCACTTTGTTTCTAGTAACTCTCTATTTTTCATTTAAGATTTTGACATGATGCTCAGTATAAGAAAGATCAGGTTGGAGAGGAAGTCCTTCAATTTCCACCACTTCCTCAGCAACTCATAAACACTTCTTTAATTGGGAAACATGGAAGACATTATGTACTGCTGACAAAATATTTAGAAGTTAGAGACGATAAGCAACCGCACATCGCTCCAAAATCTTATAAGGTCCGTCATAACGAGGAGCTAACTTTCCACGGACTCTGAATCAATGCACACCTCTCATCGGGGATACCTTTAGGTACACATGGTCACCAACTTCAAACTACAAGAGTCTTCTTCGCTTGTCCGCATAAGTTTTCTGATGATTCTGAGCTGCTTTCAAATGACTCTGAATAACACTAACTTGCTCTCGAGCTTCCTTGATAAAATCAGGTCCAAAGTAACCACGATCACCCACTTCAACCTAGTTGAGAGGTGTTCTACATTTCTTGCCATACAGGGCCTCAAAAGGTGCCATACGAATGTTTTCTTGATAGCTATTGTTATAAGAAAACTCAGCTAGAGTCAAGCATTCATCCCACTTTTCTAGAAAAGAGATGACACAAGCCCTCAACATATCCTCAAGTATCTGATTGACTCTTTCTATCTGACCGTCAGTTTGTGGGTGATAAGCT